ACGCACCTATACGAAAAAACTTGTTGGTATCTCCTAATATAAAAATCACCAAACAATATTTGTTTTGTATGCAGAAAATATGTCTAAAATATTTTTTACTTGTTTCCCGCGATATTTAAATGGATTTTTTGAGAGTTGGCCTAAAAATAGTTATTTTTTACTTGGAGTGTATTTTTAAATCATAATTAGATAAGACATAGTTTTTATAATATATATTAATTAATCTTTGGGTTTATGGTTTAGAATAATTGTATAAAGATGGTTCGATCATGCAGTGCATTGGATTGTACTATAAAATTCCATATTTCAGGGGTATAGGATCAAATCTGGCTACGTCCATCGTGCATGATTTGACAAGAAGTAAAAAAACACTCTCACTTTTGATGGCAGCAACTAAAATTTGAGAATTACTGTTAAAACAATGAAAGAAAAGTCACTCTTTATATTGGTATTACATTTAGCATACTACGAGAAGAGGAAATACGCTGAATTGATATTAGAAACTATTGGACATAACCTGTTTTGATCCCAAACGATGCACATAGCCATGTTTGATACCAACTTCACAGGACTTGACCAAGTTTGATTACAACCTAATCTCACCGGCCGGGCTCAGTACAATGTGTCAAAATACTGCGTATCGTGAACATTATTTTTATGAGGTTTCCTCGCGCCTTGTATCATGTACCACTAGCATCACGTGTCACTCTTCAGCTGGTCAACTATTTATGTACAAAAATTAGGTTTTTTTTATTTATTTGTTTAGGTATGTATATTTCTTACAGGCTAACAGTATAGAGCAACACAACTATAGTTAAAAGATAAAACTAAAAAAAAATCTCTAACATATTTGTTTCAGTACAAATCATCACTTTAACATTATTATATCAACAAAAGCGGTGTTTCTTCTCTTGGTTCACATTCCAATTCTTCATTGTCATTTTCGTTCTCAGCCAGAGTTTCAGCAATGTTTATCACATCTGAATAGAAACTTAATTGTTCCAGGCCTTGCCAGTCGTCTCCAAAATGTTTTGATAGCAGATTTTTAACGTTCCTTGCTTTTAATGCCTTTGCAGGTGTGTGTTGTATTATTTTTTTAGGAACAATCATACTCATAATTTTAGATTTCCGACAAACATTTTCATATTTTCCCGATTGATTCCTGTAAAATCTCTCCGACTGAACCAACACATTTCCGATCCGCTTCGATCGTTTTAAATAGAATCTTTTACACTGCGCAAACTGTACTTTCCACTGTCCGGGGGGTTTTAGTATTGTTTCAGCTTCCTTTTTGAAATCACATACAATGAAATCTTCGCCTACTTTTACAATAGTTGCCTGCTGTGAAATGATATCGATGTACTGATTCGGGCTTAGTATTGTGTCCATTTTACGAAATTCCTTTTCACTGTTTCCGAACACTCTATCTGCTGGAAGATAGGAATGGCCAGTTACTGGAAACACCAGTTCTACTGTTTTAATAGAAGGATATTCCAACAACCATTTGCAACACATTGTGATTATGGTGGAATTTTTATTCTGACCTCCGCAGCCGTCTGACATCAGTCTAATGGTAGTTATATTGGTAAGATCCATCTTGTTTAGGTGGTTATACACTGCATATGCTATTGTATTAGAATTTTTTGAGAAAGTGTTCTCTTTCCAGACATTTGCGAAAACGTTGGTTTTATTAAGTGGTGTCTTTGAAGTTCCTTCCACAATGGTGAAATTAAAAAGATATAATTGCCTGCTATAATAATACGATTGATCTGGTACTTTGGGAACATTCATGTTTTTTGACATGGCAATCATAAGAAATTATTTTCAAACCCTCTTCTTCTGTCTTGAACAGCGAATAGAAAGCTTTCATCCTTTCATCTTTCTCTGTTTTTATTTTTTCTAGTAGCTGCAGACATGTTGAGCACATATCTGTATTCGGACTGCCAAATCCTAAATTGTATTTGGTGTTGAAAATATGTCTGAAGTAAGATTCTTTTACCAGTGCTGAACATTCATTTTTGTACAGTTTGTACAGTTTTCGGATATTTAGATCACTTGGCAAATATATCCGGATTGAACTTTGGCTTCGACAATAATGTGGTTCTGAACACTGAAGTTTATGAATAAACGCACTTACTGATGCCCTTTTATCCTTGAATAGGTTGGCTTTACGGTCTCCTCCTCTTTTTTCTCCTGGAAACTCTCCACTGACGAAAGACTTTTGAACCAAATTTAAGACACGTCCTTTTTTCAAGCACAGCGTTTCTAAAAACATCTTCTGACAAACACTAATAGATTGTTTATCGACTTTAATATGGTATTTTATGGTGCACTGTTTGGTTGCTTTTAGGGAAGTCTGATCTCCAGTCGTAGGATCCAATCTTAAGATCCTTGGTCGTGTTTTCTTAATCGGTACTGCTTGACAGCATTTCAATATGATTGCATCTTGATCCGATTTGACAGGATTCTTATAAAATGCCGTATGAAATTGTCGTCAATTTTACCCGTCACTTTAATGCACTCAAAGACTTTGGTTTTATGTTCACAACGTGGTACTGTTGGCAAACTCTTTGCGGAATACCTAAAACAAAAAGTATAAAAGATACAAAATTGTTTTTAGCGCCATGGTAGCATAAGTCGCAAACTAAAAGAGCTCATCCGAACATCCAACGATATTAGTCATATATTATTCTAGTGATGGGGTTCTCAAATACCAAGAATCGACGAGTATTCGATTCCTGAAAGTTCTCAAGATATCTCGAACACTTAAATCAAACAAAGTTTTAGAATACTGACTGAGGAAGCCGTCGCTATAATATTATTAAGGTATTCGGTCTCGGTGTCCTGGTACTCTGATGTCAGCAGCTATTTTTAAATGCGTTTGCCGATTATTACCAATATAAGCGGATATATAGAAATAGCTTTAGAACAATAATAAGCGGATAAGTTAGTTTTATAAACAAATCTTTTTGGAGGTCAAAGAATATAATAAACTAACGTAATGAATATTTTTTGGGATACAAAAAACACGTAATACAACTGCACAACTAATACTAATTTTTTTTAATAGGATTCCTCATTCAACAAAGAAAATGTGCTTATTCTCAAGATTATCAAATTCAGAAAATGTCACATTTCTGTAAACACATTTCAGTGAGTGTAAGAGCCATTAACGAATGTAAACATTAAACAAATCAGGAATTATTGATGAATTTAAAACAGTATTATTTATTTTTTAATCAACTTTAAAAGCGAATAAGGTTCTTGGTTCTCGGTACTTCAGGAACAAATTAGGAATCATTGATGAATATAAAACAGTATTTATTTTTAATCAGCATTAAAAGCGAATAGGGTTCTCGGCATTACTCGAAAAATTCTCCATTCTAAAGCCACGTATCCATTTCACGAGACTGCCGCGCGCGGCCTAGCTCACGTTCAATAATTATAACAGTTTTGCAAACGCTTTATAGCTTTGCCTCGCGTAACAGTGTGGTGTCCACTTTCGGCGGTAACGACAACGAACATGACGCGCGTGGTAGCCTCGCGAAATGGATACGTGGCTTTAGAAATTATACCCATCACTAGATTATACAGTCGAACCCGCTTATTAGAAGAAGAATACTGGTTATTTAGGAATATCCTGGTTTAAGGAATAGAAATTTGAGGTCCCGAAACGATTCTACTAGCCACCAATGGTCGGTTGTTAGAAAATCCCGAATATAGGAATACTTTTGCTTGGCACGATGGCTATTTCAATATGGGGGTTTGACTATACCTAAATCTGACCTGCGGTACGGGCCTGGCAAAAGAACGAACTTACCTCTCTTTTTTCGCCTTGTTAGCCTTCCAGTTTTGTGGCTGTGCAATCCGTTTTCGTGTCTGGTTTTGATTAACGGGCATAGGAACAACATCCATCTTGACAAAAAACTATAGATTTCACTTGAAATCACAGGAGTTCTTATTTAAAATGCGAAAAACTGACACCGTAACAACCATCGAGCAATAAGACAAAAGAGGGAATCTAATCGTTATAAAAAGGAGACCAAAAAAGTGGCCTCTGATGGCGGACACATCCGGAAATGCAAAGGCGCCAAATTTAAATTTTCCGACACTTATCAACAGTAGCTATATAATATTTTTCAGAATGTGTCTTAGACGAGAAAGTTTTAATTAATTATTAATGATAAGAGTCTAAAATGCGACACAATTGTTAAAAACCTTCAACATAAATAAGATTTCATGTGACATTTGGGACAAACAATAACATAACCCAACTAAATTTGATGTCAAACAAGGAGAGAGACTCTCTATCCTTGTCTAAAGTGGCCTCTCAAGATGGCACTTCCTGTCTATCAATATGTTTACCCCTTCTACCTTTACATTCCCTCTTTTGTCTTATTCCTCGATGGTAACAACACACGGTTCCGAGTAAGTCTAGGAACCGTGGTAACAACACATAAATTATATTAGCGGCCATTACAGATTTGGTTCGAATGAAGAGCTCCTATTGGCTGGCGTGCGCGTATCTATGTTTGATACTGAGTTTATGTGGACGTAACCAAGTTTGTTTCCAACCAATTTTTTTATTCAAAATTTCTCTGGACTAAGCGAAATTTAAGCCCAAACTATTTCTTTAGGTAATAGGCTGTCTCAAAATGAAAATGTTGCCATCAAAATGTCAATTTCTAAAAATTATGGACATAGCCATTTTTTTATATTCCTAAAAACAATAATATAGGAAAATATGTTAAGTACGACCCTGTAAATACAATTTCATCAGAATGACAGACACCAAACGTACAATATTTTGCTTGGAACTAGTTAAAACTCATTCTCTCTCTTTTTTTCTAATTAAAAGCATATTCGTACTCTTTCTAAACACCTAATCGGAATCGAACGAATGTGTGAATACCTTTAATATGTCAAAAATTAACCTAGTTGTTATTTGCATTTTTAATCTTTTAGGGCAGTTTTAAATAACGGCCTTATTTTGGTGCACAATGTACCAAAATGCTTGTGGAGCCGCAGCTGCCAGTGCCGGGGGTTGTGTAGAAACTGATAGAGAATGCCACAGCTTAATATCCAAGGAACCTACAATACCAGCAGTAGAACATGACTATAGTGGTTTTGATATTGTTAAAGCTACACAGGTATTTATTCAAATACATAAAAACATATTTACAGATCTTTGAATCTATATAGGAGTGACCGCCTCCCGTTTTTGTGTCTAGCTTTGTCTTTCCAGTTATTTACTTTGATTTATAATGTTTACTTGTTACCATTTCTAAATCAATTACTCTTTACACTTCTTCCTATTAAATCCGTTTTTCTAATCATTTGAATGTTTTATCATCTTATTTTTAAACATTTCTGCAGAATTGTTGTTTCTTTGTTGTTCTTCAACCTAATTCTTTGATATTTTTCTTTAACTTGCTTGAACTATTTCTCACTATCTACAGAAAATTTTACTACTGATCTGATTTTTAGTATGGAGCTCTTGCCAGGGTAAAAGAACTTATAGAAGCTGGATATGATGTTAATGAAAGAGACCCAGAAAATGTTACTTTATTGCATTGGGCTTCAATTAACAACAGAAAAGAGATTATGTCTTTATTTATTGATAAAGGCGCTGAAGTAGATGCTATAGGTGGTGAATTACAAGCTACACCTTTACATTGGGCTACACGCCAAGGCCATCTAGATGCTGCCGTCTTATTAATGAATGCTGGAGCAGATCCAACATTAAGAGATGCAGAAGGATGTTCTTGTATACATTTAGCGGCACAATTTGGACATACAGCTTTGGTAAGTTTAAAACTGAAGAATAGATATGCAATTTATCTGTTTATTGTATCAACTTTTTTTCCAACAATCAATATGTCTAATATTTATGTTTAATATTCGACATATCAACTGAACAAAGGTTTCTAATGTAACAATCCAAAACTTCATTAAAAAATGTATTTTTTAAAAGAAATTGAAAAACAGATTTCTGGATTCCTTAACTAATAAAACACACTGAGTACTGACAAACTCACTATATCATAATATGCTAGTATATTACATGATTTAATTTTGAATAAAAAGAGTTAAATGTATGGAAACAGCCCAATTATATACTTAATAAATGCTCTTCTAACAACCTACAGTTGTCACTGTATAAGAGGTAATAGTATTTGTCACTAATGGGCGTTTTGTATTTGGGTTTTTATACAAAAACCGTTTTATTTGGGTATTATATATATTTTGTATTTGTATAGTGGGTTTTTGTAAAATGATAATACAAAAATAATAAAGTAATACAAAAATATATTTTTGCTTATTGAGATACTGATAAAGGTTTATATAAAAAAGATAAAAATATAACTTTATACTACTTTTAGACCTACTAATGCTGAAAGTTACAAAAAATCTAATGGTGAATTTACCTTGAAATTCCTATTCTGTTTGTTGTAACCTAACTGTATAAGTTTCATCAGCTACACAAATCTGTTTGGCAAATAAAAACTGTTTTATCACAATAAACAAAATGTTGACACTGCACAAATTTGAACAGTGTCTTTTGTCAATTGATAAGTAAAGGCTCACACAACAAATGGCTGTATGGACATAACATTTTTAAATTGTCTTTTTTTTTACTAGAATAACAATTTCAAAAGGCCGACTTTTGTTTCCAGAAGTGGTTTACGATAAAAATTCTTTGATACATATACTTATATGTACAATAATAATTTATTTCGTTGATATTTACATTTGAATAAAGTAAATAATGACATGTAACATTGTAAAATTTTACAATAAATTAAATTATTGACTAACCATTTTAGGTTACCTGTTTAACAGTATAATATCGGAGATAACTGGTTCCGTTTTTGATCAGCTACATCTAAAAATGTCAACATGTTGCGTCCTTAGTTTATTACATTGTTGTAAAAACCCTATATCTGAAAATTGAGGTTAAATATTTTGGACTTCACTTGGGAAACTATGAAAACATACATAAAAGAAGTCAATTTGATCTAAAATAAAAAATATGTACTGTAAACCAAACCTTACATGAGGATATAAAAATCCCATTAATAAAAGATGTAATAACTCCTAGACCAAATAAATCAAAAGACTGACAACACAACAAGAAAACCTATTCATATGAGTCCTATTTATCCAATCTTTGAAGGAGGAAGACTGAGATGATTTTGACCAGAAGAGCTTATTATATAAGAGCAACAAGTGAAATAGGGCTGAAGATTAATGAAGAGGAGACGAAATATATGTGTATAAATAGAACCACACGAAGAGACAGAATAGGACAAAATGTGACAGTCAACACCTTCAATTTCGAAAGAGTACAACATTTTAAGTATCTGGGGGCCGTAATCACAGCTGACAACAATGTTACTGAAGAAATAAAAGACAGAATCCAATCTGCAAACCACTGTCTATTCGCACTGCATAATCTCATAAAATCAAAAAATCTCACAAGAAGTTCAAAGATCAAAATCTATAAATCCACCGTTAGACCTGTAATAACATATGGATGTATGGGAGAAGATTCCCACAGATAAAAGACCACTTGGATGTCCCAGAATGCAATGGAGAGATAACATCCAAGAAGATCTCTGAAAAATGAACATTCCATTTGACCCTAGGTTGATGGAAGAACGAACAAATTGGAAAAAAGTTGTACAGTCTGGCAAGACCCATCCAGGGTTGTAGCGCTACGTAATGATGAGAAGAGCTTATTGATAATTAGTGACTGCATGAAGAACTACTTATTACTTATTACTCTAATATTGATTCACTTTAATTTTTTTTAGTTAAAAATAAAAACATTGTTGCTATAAAGATGAAATGATATTTTTTTGTGAATAAAAGATAATTTAATTAGCTTGGTTTCTTCTATTTGATCTACAAATAACCAAACCTTTTGTATGAACAATGTTTCACATAAATACTAGCAGTATTGTAAGCTTTTGATGAGTAATTTATTCACATTTCAGGTTGCATATTTTGTCGCCAGAGGAGTTAGCCCTGATCTAGTGGACAGAGTTGGTATGACACCTTTAATGTGGGCAGTTTGGAAAATCTGTAGTTTGGATCCCACAAGGTTGTTATTGACATTAGGAGCTTCAACTAATTTAACTGATCAACAAGGCAATACTGCACTACATTGGGCAATTTTAGCTAGAAATACAACAGCAATATCTACATTAATTCTACAGGTAAATAATATTATTTCTTTTTTCTAAGTTATCTAATAAAACAATTTATAGTTCTTTTATTGTACATTTGTTGGTGTTATTCATTGCAACCTATCATGACATGTGCTTCTGAATTCATGTACATGACATGATAGGTTGTAACAATGAATAGAATAATAATAGCACTTCTATACTCATCAAGAAGTTTAAGTAATATACAGATGGCTTCTAAACAACAAAATGTATTGGAAATATTTAGATTTTAATTGGAAATCTTAAACAATAAGACCATAACACTGTGGCTCTTAATAAAAAGCTCTATTGGGATCAATAGAGTTGTTGATCAAAATAGTTGAAGGTCTGACAACAGAAATGGGAAGGAGATACTTAAGGGCTGAAAATAAACACAAATAAAACAAGAGTAATCATTATTACACATACACCAAATACTGACAGTAATATTTTTGTATGTATAAAAAACATACAGGACCCATAAGATTCCAGTATTTTGGTTAATGGATAATAAACAATCTTGACCACAAGATCGAAATATCAGCTCATATAGAGTATGGTAAGTCTGCTGTTCAAAGAACGAAAAAAATTCTAATAAACTCTACTTTATTGTTGGATGTCTAATACTGATTTGTAAAGATATTTATTCCATACTGTTAGATTTAGTAAAAAATGGAATCTTGGAATTAAAAGTAGGAGGCAGATAGAAAGAAGCCTTTGGGATGTAGGTTTTTTGAAGGATGCTGAAGATCTTTTGGACAGAGCATGTGGCCAACAATGGTGCTGAGAAGTATGGGGAGTCAGAGAGAGCTCCAAACATTATAAAAGACCGAAAAACTAGTTATCTAGGACATATTTACATAGAGGTCTAGGAAGAAGAAAATGCTTGTGGCTGAAAAATGTATGTGTGCAGGCATGGACACCCATTCATTATTAAGAATAGCTCAAGGTATAAAGCAATTTGCTGTAATTATCGCCATCCTTCAGTAATGGAGAATGTACCTTAAAAGAAGAAGAAACAATAAGGAAATCAATTTGGGGAAATTACCAAATACTTTAAAATGAAAATGTAGACTATACTTAATTTGTTTCTTCTGCGAATAAGTAATTAAATAACTTTTTATGAGGTGCCTTCTCAGTTTTGAAAACTGTGTTAAAAATTGAGAGATAACCATACTTTATTGATACTATGTACCTAAAGGCCTTTGATTGAAGTTTTTCAGCCAACTAAAAATTGATTTTTCATTTTGTGACTATAATAAGGATTAGGATGATATGATATAATTTATTCACTGTCAACTTACCTCTATGGAATATTACTGCATGTTACTAATTTTGGCTTGTAAAATTCTAGTTGTGAGTTTTAGCGCAGTATTTAACAAGTTGTAGTTCTGCTGTAGTTTTCTTGCTGTTTTTATCTTCTTTTTTGAATAGTAGAATTAGTTCGCTCGTTCTCCATTCTTTAGGTATTTTATTAATTAATGTTGTTAATTGTTCTGTCATTGCTGCTCCACAATATTTTAGTAACTCATTTGGTATTCCGTCTTTACCTGCTGCTTTACTGTTTGCGTCATTTGTTCTTCCTCTGCATATAGCTTTTTTACATATCCTTTTCTATGTGTTTTGGTTCTATTAGTTCCTTTACCTCCGTTCTTTAACCTCTTATTAAACGCCATATTTCCTTTTACAGACTGTAAAAATCATGTTCCATTTCTTTCGAAAAGCTTTCCCAGTGATCATTTTTTTTTTCTTACAAGTGCATGTGTTTTGTTTCAATTATCTTGTAATTATGGTGTGCCTCTTGTGTTTTGGTTGACATGGATTTCAGGTAAGCTTTTTTCGTTTCTTTACATTTTTTTCCTTCACTTCTGTACAAAACCTTGAATTTGTTCACCTTGGGAACGATTTATTTTTATTTCTATTTCTTTCATCAAGAACTTCCTTGTCCGAGGTAAGATATTAGACTTCATTTTTGCCCAGCTTTCTTCGATTCCATCACTTTCTGTGATATATGTATTTCTGTAAGCTAACACGGTTTTCGTAGTGGAAGATCGTGTACAGATGCAATATTAGTTATAAAGAAATTTACTGAGAAATCACTAGAGTATAATAGACCAGCATTTCTGTGTCTGATTGGCCTAAAGAAAGCGTTTGACAGAATAGGACTCAAAGATGTAATCCATCTTCTGTATAATAGAGAAGCTTCCCTAAATATTATAAAAACTATCGAAAACATCTACCAAAACAACAAAATGGAAGTCAGAATAGATGGACAACTTACAGAATCTATAGAAATAGGCAGCGGGATAAGACAAGGGGATTCATTGAGCCCCATGCTCTTCAATTTGATCATGAATGAAATCATCGAAAGCGTTAACAAAGGAAGAGGATACAGAATGGGAAACAAAGAAATTAAAATACTGTTACATAGACAACGCAATATTGATAGCCCAAGAAAATACTCTTCCACAGATTTAACATAAAAGCAAAATAATTTAATATGACATTCTCATCTCAGAAAACTAAACCAATAGTAGCCAGCAAAGAACCAACCAGATGTAAAATAGAAATTGATGGCATCAGTATTGAACAAGTAATGGAAATAAAATAACTGGGAATTACACTGTCTAGCTATGGAGACCTGGACAAAGAAGTGAGAGATCAAGCACAAAAAGAAAATAGATTGGCAGGATGCCTTAATAACACTATATGGCGAAACAGACACATTAACACTGAGATGAAGTCAATAATTTATAAAGCTAGTGTAAGACCAATAATGACATGCCTCAGAAACAAGACTCGACACAGCTACAACGCAAAGGCTACTGAGAAAGAGAAGTGAAGACATTAGAAGAAAATGTAACGTACAGTGTATAAATGAATGGACACAAAATAGAAAAAAAAAGAATGGAATAACCACATAAGCAGAATGGAGGAGACCCGTGTCGTCAAAATAGCAAGAGATAAGTCACCAATCGGCAGAAGAAGTATCGGACATCCTTCCATAGAGGTATTAATCCGCCAATGAACAAGCATAATTGCTTATAAAGAGGAAGAAGAAGACTAATTTTGGCTAAAAACCAATTTTAACAATTGTAACACCAAAGCAACAGAATAATTGTTCTTGTTACAAGATATTAGGTATACGGATTGTTAAACTCAACTCCAGAGGTATATCGCCTGTCGAAACTGTAGTATCCCTTTTAGTGATAATTTAATTTTTTTCGGACTAAAGACGGCACTTGTTTGAAATTAATAATATCGGAATATATATTTGAAGTCGAACATATTGACAATCAATGGTAACGTGATAGAACAAGTAGAAAAATATCAGTGCTTGGGAACTTTGATCAATGAAACCAATGATCATACTGTAGAAATAAACAGGCGAATAGACTTTGCCAGATCAGCATTTATACGAATGAAGCCACTCCTAACGTGCAAAAATCTAAATTTGGAGGTCAGACTACGTACCATTCACTGTTATATATTTTCAATATTATTATATGGAGCTGAGATTTGGATATTAAAAAAAATGTAATTTAGAAAGAATCGAGGCCTTCGAACTCTGGTTATACCGCAGAGTATGAAAATATCATGGACTGATAGAATTACAAATAAAGAAGTACTGGAGAGGGTTGGTAAAGAAACAGAACTAACCACCACTATACAAATCAGAAAACTGGAATACCTAGGCCACGTGTTGAGGGAACCAAAATATGAAAATGTGAGACTCACTACTAGCCTTTGATAGAAAAAACAAGTTTTTGGAATTAAATCGATTTATTTCTCAACATAGTCCCCTTTTAGCTCGATACACTTATAGTTTATTTTTATGAACGAGAGAGTAATTAGCATAATTTTAACTGGTACCTTCGACCACTCCATGGGCGTGCTCAAGATTAATTGAAAAATTACTTTGAATAATTGTAAAAAATAAATGAATTATTTCAGTGTTATAAAGTGTTGTATGTAAACAAAAGTGACCTCTTTTATCACACACTATATTAGAACTGACTGGCCTACATTAAAAAGGGTTTTAAAAAATTCACATTTTTTTTAATTTTTAAAAATTACAAAAGAGAAAAAGAGTTTTTAAAACCGTCTAAGGTATGTTAAATAGATAAATAAAAATATTAATATAAAACTTACAGCTACTTGTTACAAATCCAAATCAGATTCAAAAGATGAACTTTTAGAACCAAGATTTATAATAACTGGTTCGATCATTTTATCAGTAATATTGTCCAGCTTTCACATTTTTTCCTCTTCTTTAATAGTGTGATTTACTGCCTTTTCCCAGTTTTCAGGTTTTACATTATTCACGGCCTCCAAAAACAACTGATTAACATCACGAATTTTAAAAGTGGTATTTTTTCTTGAAACTTCACTCTTTATCTGTGCCCATACCAGTTCAATCGGGTTTAATTCACAATGATATGGTGGGGATCTAAGTACTGTCATTCCACGATTTTTGGCAATTTCATCAATTTCGTATTTTTAAAATTTTTCTTTATGAAGGGCACACAACGAATAAAGTTCCTTTCTTATATATCCGGGATGGTACGTAACATTTTTGAAACTCAGCCAATTCTGCAAGTCTTTTTTTTAACCACTTGGTTGTGGGCAGTCCTTCTATAAGTCTGGAGTGATAACTTGCATTATCCATTACTATTACACAGTTCTTAGGAAGAAGATCTATTATTTGTTCGAACCATTCTTGAAAGACATCAGCGTTCATCTCTTCATGGTAGTCACCGGTACGAGTTGATTCAAAAGTTAATAAACCACCTTCAACAAAACCGTCTGAACTGCCAATGTGTACTATTATCAGCCTGCGTCCCTTTCCTGATGGTGGGTTTAAACCAGTAGATAAGTTATTTACAAAAGCGTGCCTTTGACTTGTAACAGTTTCATCCTACGAAAATTTATTTGGTGTATGACCCTCGTTGATCCATGTTTCATCAAGATAAAATATTTTTCTTTTTTGGTTTCTCATTTCCTTTATG